GCGCCTCCTCCCTCCCCAGCCTGCCCAGCGTCTCTGAAGTGAGCACAGCTCCCAAAGTGGCAGCGAATCCCAGGGACGTGCTTTGTGTATCTTCTTAGGTGGTCTACGTGGGAGCTGTGTGTGGTGTTTGTATAAATAACTGCACTAATTTGTGGTTGTCATGGGCAGGCACTGTTGACCCAGAAGAGCTGACTTCTCACGGTGCAGCACATTGTTCTCTGTAGCAGAATGTGCCCTCCACTGGGGCGTGACATTTGGTTCACGAGATCGCTGGGCAGGCGCACCCGAGCCGTGCTGCAGGCCTCGGCCGAAAGCCTGTCCTGGGCACCCATGCGAGGCGCCACAAAGCTTCTGTTGGCCCCAGCAGTGAGCCCAGGGTTTACTCTCCACCCTGCCCTTTGGGAAATGTCCGTGCCTTTGTGCCTCAAGCTCTCTGATAACTAGGTTCGTGTGTGGTGACCCTCACTAGCAGCTCACCAAGTAGCTTCTGCTTTCAAAGCTAGAAATAGCCAGAGTGCCACCTTCTCTTCCAGTTTTGGGAACCCACCTTTTGTGTTCCTTTGATAATCTTAGTCCTGGATCATATCGACAGTGTCTGTGCCTGCTTTGAAAACAAAGTTATCTACGTGGTTTGGTTTTAAGAAGGCATTTATGCAAATATCCTCACCAGTAAAGGAGTAGAAGTTTCAACATGAACTTAAAAACTGTAAATTCAGGTTTCTTTAACCAGGAGACAGCGTGGAGGTGGGGCAGGGTGCAAGGAGAGGTAGGGGATCAATTTGATCAGCTGGCTGAAAGTGGATGCCATTTTCATCCAGGATGGAAGCAACTGTGCGAAGCAGGGTAGGTTACAGAGATGCACGATGACGATAGGTAATCCAGAACCCACAGCAGATATGGAGGAGCAGGTTACCGCACCGGCAGGTCCCACGCCCAACCAGAAAAGGCACAGTTGCTCCCACTGCCAAATCTTAATAGGGCCGCAGGGAAGGAGGGGAGAGGCATGCAGCCTGGCTCTTTCTGTCTTAAGACTTAGTTCCCTGGTCACAAAAAAGGACCCAACTTGTTAGGAACAGCCCAGATTTTGTTTGTTTGTTTTGGACACCACAGTGCCCTTAGGTAGAACAGCCTTTGCACACCTGGGTTATCTGGGTTCTGATTTTGACCTCTTACCCGTCCTAACCAGGTACTTCACTAGAACTCTGCATGTCTCATTGGGAGGAGGGGGGTGGTGGTGAAGAGTGCATGCTTTGGAGCACGTCCTGACATCCTTCTCGTTGGCCGTCACTAACTGGAGCAGCTAGCCCGGTGCCATTTTGCAAATTCCCATTCCTGTTTCCCTCACCACACTATTTATAGTCCTGAGAGCAGCCAGCTCCACTAATGGCACATAAAAGGTTTATGAGCATCTTGCTATGTTGAACTTGCTGTTTACTAATGACCTGTGCTTTTCCACCCTTCCCTACCCTTCCTCCTCCTTCCTCCCTTTCTATTTTTCTCCTCCCAGAAGCCTAGCCTGTCTCTCAACACTGGGGCTGCGGCACCACCAGACCAGTGATTTTCCTAAGCACCGTTACACTTCTAAACCTTCAGCATTTTGCAGAGCTTTGCTTTTCCTCTGGACACGGTGTAGAAGCAGCTGAGGGTAGTTCTCCGGGGCCTCTTTCTGCTGACGCCTGAGCAATCCACCTGCTGCTCCCTGTGTTCTGCAGGGCTGGATGGACCCTCCTTTCCCTTTGTGAGCACAGACCGCAAGATGAATTTGTTTTCATTTTAGTATTTTCATAAAAGTCAGCTAATGTCTTTTATTTCTTCTTTTAAAATTCATTTTATCATTTACTTCAATCTCACATTTTTCTTTAATTTAAACATCTTGAGTTGGTCTTTTTCATTTGGTTTTCGAATCTTCAGTGCGCATTAGCTCATAGTCATGCCGAATGAGAACATGTGCTTTCATAAAGGGGTCGAGGCCATCGCACTGCCGTGCTCTCCTTTCCCGCCCTCCTCCCTCCCTCAGCTCGCTCATGGGGAAGCTCATGGTCAGGTCGTTGTGCTTCCGTCTACCTTAAAGTCTGGACAGTGACAGTTATTTCCATAGAAAGGTTTCTGATTTAGAGTGGTACTTACTAAACTTCAAAGAGTATTTCTCCACGCTGAATCATCCTTTGTTATTTGTAAGTTGGGCCCAAATTGTTTCTATTACAAAGTTATGTTCTATTTGTTTAGGCTGAGATTTTTCTGAAAATTTGACCATTTTGTTATCGTGCATGGAACTGTATAATCAAAAGTACTTTTTGAATACAGTCATGAAGTATCAAAATAAGACTTGGAAAGTTAAAGAAAATGGGACTGTTAGAACGTTCTGGAATGCTAAATTGTTAGAATACTGGGATGTTGATACAGGGGGAAAACCCCACCTTTTTCTATAATAACGTCAGAATGGAATAAATTGCCAGCACATTTAAGAACCACAGCCAATTTAGAAGGTTCCTAGTGGAATGATTATCTGATTGGACTAAAACTCTGTTCATGATTAGTATGCCCTTGAACTCGGTGCCTTTAACGTTGCATGCCCATGGGGCTCCTGGGTCACGTGAAGGCCTGTGTTTAAAATCTTTGCCGTTTGCATTCACACAGTCTGAGGATGGTCTCTGAACAAGACTTTCTTACTCTGGCTCCTCATTTTTCCAACCTAATAGCTAAAAAAAAAAAAAAAAAAATCTAGAACCATATGGGATAAGTATAGTGGAACCTTTATAATAATGAGCTTTGAGCAGCGTTTTTATGGACCATAAAACATGGGCCATATTATGACATTTTAGAGGAGTTCGAGTTTAAGACCTACAGTTTGAAATATTCTCATTTCAGTCCTCTTAGAGATGTGCAGGTTTTTATAACCTCTGAGGTACTTACTGCTTGTTTCAGGGTGGAAGGAATAATTGGCATCGCGTTCTGAGGAAGGCTTGGTGTAGTCCCTCCAATGTAAAACTGCTTTAAGGGTGGTCAGGTCAGAATACCACGACGGTTTAACTGAGTCCCTGCAGTGACCGTGGACTGAGGAAGCGTCCCTCTTCTCCAGGCATCTGATCCCAGTGCCGGTTTCTCTGCCAAGCTCTTCTGTGGGTTCTGGACAGACTCGGAGGGAGGCGCGTGAGAGAAGGGAGTTTCTGCTTATCTTCTAAGCGGTTGAGAGAATATGAGGCCTCCTGCCATAGGACACCACACCATCAAGTAAAACTTTGGTGTGTAGTCGTTTCATATGTCATCTTTGGCGTGGGGTTTGGTTTGGTTTGGCTAGGGAACTTTTCAGAACTTTCTCAAATCCTCTTTGACCTGTCTCCCTTGCTTCTGTCTAGTCCAGAGCGATGGGCTGGAGAAGGCTGTGTGTGACTCTGCGCACTCACATCTCATCTTTGACGTTGAGTTGCTCTGTTTTAATTTTCATTTGACTATATCCATTTGTGTTGGGAATTTCTTCACCTTTTCTTTTTGTATTTACAGAATTGTTGAAATTTTCTACTAACAGCCAGCTAAAAAAAAATGTGATATATATTGTTAGCTGCATCTGTTTCATTTTAAAGAAAGAAATTTACTGTTTCACATGCAGCTTCATGTGAGGTAGCCGGGTCCACAGTGAAATGCCGAATTGCCATGATGGTCACGCCACGTGGCCACCGCCTCCCAGGTGAGGCGGCCACTCTAGACAGGGCTGCTCTGTTGGATGTGATGCATGCTTTCTCTGTCTGTCTTTTTCTTTTCTCTTTTTTTGGCCCAATATTGAAGATGTAGAACTTTGTTTTTAATGATATTTTTATAACTTCCTTCCAACACCTAAGTTTGTATTTTTGTGACTTAGAACTTCAACAGTTTGTATATTGGGACATTTTAATGTGATCATTGTGCTGAATAAATTATACTAATAAACATCTTTCACTAACACCTTACGGACT